ACGGAGCTTGGTTGGTTCTCGCTGTTGTTCATAAACCAACTTCGCATACGGGTACTGCTTGAGATAACGAGCCAACCGCTTCAGGTTGCCCCAGTCAGCGTCTGTCGGCATTACCATCTTTCTTGACAGTGTCTTGACCGCATGGCCTATGTCTGCACGATCTTGTGCCAAGTATGCTGCGCGCATCACCAAGGACCTATACTGCTTCACCATCTCTGGTGGAAGTGCAGCTGCCTTAGCTTCCAGCAATTGTTGATCCACAGACTTCTTAACATCCGCTGTCTCTACGCCCTTACCATTGTTCAGACCCAGCTCCTCGATGAGGAGTTCTGCATGCCGCGAGTCTGCTTCAATCACGGCGCAGGGTCTCCCACTGTGTTGCTCCAACCGTATCACCCGATTGAGGAAAGTGATCTGGTTGCTTCCTGCAACTCCGATTCCTACCTCTCCTGTGCGCTTCAGCTCGTAGGCTTCTCGGAGTGTCTTGTCTAGTGCTTCCTGCGCTGCTTCGTCACCCAAGCACAGAAAGTCGTCTCCGTGTACTAAGACACGGGCATCCAGCACTGGGTGATAGAAGACTGCACCATTGCTTCTTCCTCTCTTCCATCCTGCTTGAATCAGAGTTTGAGTGTAGTGGTCCTGCCATATCGCTGGCGCGTCTTGCGTTCCGTACATTGACTTCAATAGCAGTCCACACTCTCCTTCTCCTGCTCCCTCTTCCTCTGGGAGCTTCACATAAATGTTTCTCTTTGGAGTCCCATAGAAATGGGCTCTTGAGATGTCCCAGCTCCCAAGTCGTAACGGCCTCCCGTGCTTCGAGCGTTGTTTGCTCATAAGCATGGACGTAAGAATGCGCACCGCTTCTAGCGGGGGCATAGCCGAAAACAACATCGCTGGGTCTAGCTGGTCCTCGGGGCCCTTCCTGGCCTTGATGTCTTTCACGACCAGTCTGGACCTCAAGTTGGGGTTCGTGTGATCCCCTTTGTTCGTGTCTACCCACTTCAGTGGGATTGGTTGCTTGCCTGTTTCTTGAATGCACTGGTCCAGAGGTACCCTCTTCCACACACCTTGCTTGTGGATGTACTCCATCTCCAGCTGTCTAGCTTTGAGGACTCCTTCGGAGTCCAGGTACCCTCCATTCACGTCGTCCCAGTATTGGTACCAGTTGCCAGCAGGCATGCTGGGCTCCTCGGGTACTGGTCCTGCCGCATACGCATCTACGGCGCTTAGGCTTCCATCTTCAACCATTTGTTCTTTCAAGCCTTTAAGTACAGCATTTACCAGCTTTGGCGGGTAAACCGCAGCACCTCGGGCGATCTCACCTATAAGGCGGACATGCCTATGCCACAGTCCTCCCTGCTTGTTGCTGCACTCTCCCTGTAGGATTTCGGCCAACACTGGACTGTTTGTCATCCAGCCGGTTTCCTTTCTCACATATCCTTCGTTTCCTGCCACGTCGTTGGCCTTCATCTCCCATTTACACATGGGGCCTTTTACCACGTAAACTCTTTCATCCTCTGCGAGGGCTTTGACTTCCTCGTCGTACCATGAGTCCGCGCTCCACGGATGCTCGTGTAGGAAGTACCTTCCCTTTTCCATCTGCTTTCGGTACATCTTAATGCTCAAGTGCAGGTGTTGCTCTCCCTGCTCTCTTCTTTTCTTTCTCACCTCTGGTGACACCCGCTTCTGGTTGAGTGCTTGAAGCCTCGAGAAGGCTTCGCACGGCGGGCCTCCGGTCAACAGCCGGGGTTCTTCTGCATCAATCAGCTCCTCTAGTTCTTTCCTGTCTTCTTCTCTAGACAGGTCCCAATGCTCTTCACTGTTGGGCTTGGTCTCACACAAGTCTACCGCATATCCAGGCAAAAGGCCCAGTCGCGGCGCGTGTTCCGTAAACCGTTTTGGGCTGTAGATTTCCATCACATCCACGGCTCCCATGGCTGTGCACAAGGATGCGATATCCATCACCTCCTGTTCGGTGACGTCTACTTGCTCTGCCCTATACTTGTTCCGAACCATGCCTTGCACTAACAGTGCAGTTTCTCGTTTGAGAGAACTCAGCGCTTGCATGCTTTGCGGCGGCTGTTCTTCAGCCTGCTGCTGTACCACTGGCTGCGACACCAGTTCTTCTACATCTCCTGAGCTTGTTGCTCTAGGGTCTAAGCTTTCAGGCGGCTCCTCGGCCGTTCTTTTGATTCCACTTGCCGCGCTCGGTTCACTTTGCGCGGGCGGTGGTTCGTCAAGGTCGTAGTAGGCTCTTCGAGCCCTTTCATCTGCTGACATCGGCTTCGCCGTCTCTTTTTCTAACTCTGTTGGTCTACTCTCAGCTCCTCGCTTCTGCGGCGTCTGCTTTCCTACCGGCAGAGTCCCGGGTGACCCCGGGCTACTCGTGCCCCTCTTTTTCTTTCTCCCTCCTGCCTCAGGCACGCCTGAAGCCTCCGGTTCACCTACCGCATCAGCTACTCGGAGCTCTTCTTCCCTCTCTGGGGGCTCTGGCCTTCGTCTCTGGCGCAACTCGTGTGCCTCAATTCTGGCCTTTCCCCTCTCGTCTTGAGCTAGAAGCTCCATCATTCTGGCTCTGCAGGCCTCTGTGTGGTTGACCTGCGTCGACTCTCCCAGGAGTACGCATGTACACCCGGGGCAGCCTGGGGTTGGTCCCAGGCGCTCTACATCCGCTTTCAGAATGTACAGTCTCCTTTGGACTGGCGGCGCCAACACTGGTGCCGGGCCCTGCACTGGAAGCGGGCCTTCTCCGTTGAGCCTGTGGCTCCTACCAGCTCTGTGGGCTACATCCCAAGGATAGCCTCTGAGGCTTGTCCATCCCTGAGCGTCCCATCTCTGCTCAGGCGGTAAACGTCTCACTCCTTGCGCCCTCTTCACACCATTGGGTGTGATGACCAGCAACGCTCCGGTCCCGCCATGGTGTCCTATGTACCTGCCCTCCAACATCTTCATGTGGAGATCATTCTTGTTGGATTCCGCGGCGACCGCTTCACGGTAGAAAAGCCTTTCACCCAGCTCTAAGGCTGGCCGTCTCCAGGCCTTCCCTGACCGGCGCTGCTCGGGCGTCCTGCCGTCTTCTCCCTTCCTATACCTCGTGAGCAAGTCTGCTCCGTGTCTCGGCAGCCATGCAAGGACTGGGTCCTCGTCACTTAGCGTGATCCCGAGCTTCTCCTCCAGAGAGCTCTTCATGACCCGTACTTGCCTTTTCACTTCTCTCACAGCTACCTCTGCCAGGCCGTTGGCCTGGTGGTCTCCCTCGGGAGTCTCTTGGGATATTGCTTCAATCCCCTTCAGGCCATCTATGGCCTTCGCCTTCATAGCCTTTATGGCTGGTTCTCCATCACTTTTCGCAATGAACTTCTTGTAACCAAGGTGCTTGACAAAGCCCTGCCAAAACTTGATGGCGTAGGGGTCTGTTCCCTTGGCTTCCACAAAAGTCGCAGCTATTGCTTGCGTCTTCGAATCTTTGATGACCAGGATTGGTTTCACCTTGCCATCGTCTTGTCCCATAAAACAGTAGTCACACGCCACCGTTGGAAGTCCGTCGTTCTGACGCTCACGTTGCTCCCGGCTGCGGTGCTGCTGGCCAATGCCTCTCGCAGCCACGCAGTGGCGACACCACTCTCTGTATTGGACATGTCCAAGCACCTCGTGCTCAGCTATCTCTGCGGCGGTCGGTTCTATCGGAGACCGAACCTGCTTAGGAGCCGCCACCTCTACTTCGCCTTCTTCTTCCCCTTCCGGGCTTTGCGCCGGAGCTTCTGGTCCGGCCACCTCACCGGCGCACAAAGGGTGCCCGGCTTCTGGCGTCCCAGTGGGACTTACGCTTTCAGCTGCCCGCTGAAACCCGACGTTGCGGCCTTGGCCGCCTCGACTGCGTTTGCTTCCAAGTAGAAGTTGTAGACACCTCCCTCCTGGTAGAGGGGTATCGTACCCTTCTTTTCCTCGGCGCTCGCATGTTTTACCAGCTTTTCTATCTTTTGGCCTAACGGGCTTGCGCGGGGTATGAGGTGCCCTTCATCCTCTTGGATCACACCCACATACCCTTGTTTCGCACACTTGTAGGCTGACACCAGCGGTTTGTGCACCGGGGCCAGGGACCCAGTGATCCCCTTCATCCGGCCATTCTCGTCTCTGCCGGAGATTTTGCATGCACCTTTGCTGGTGATCAGTTCTCCACTTGCGGTCTTGAAGGTCAGCTCTGGGCCTTCAGCAGGCGAACCCTTACTCTCCCAGTCCTGAGGGATTGCTGTCCGGGCCGCCCCTGTGTCGTAGTTAAACTTCATCCACCGCCCGCCTTGGGAGGCGGTTTCTACAGCGCAAAGTTCAACTGCACCCAGCTCATCTTCCTGAGCTGGTTCTTCTGCCTCTCCCTCTTCTAGGGATCCAGCGTGCTTTCCTTTGCCTTTGCTTTTGCCCTTGTCCTTGGGCTTGCCCTTGTTCTTTGAGTCCGTGTTTCCCAATTTGAGCTTTGACCAACAGTCGGCGGCTTTATGGCCAGGCTTGCCACAGTTGTGACAGTTGCCTTGGAACTTCTGTACAGAGCCATTCTTGGCTTGAGCCTTTCCGTTTGAGCCATCTTTGCCACCCTTACCTTTACCTTTACCTTTAGGGTCTTTACCTTTCCCCTTCCCCTTCATGAGGGAGCTTATGGCTTGGGTTAAGGCATCAACCTCCATTGGCGCTGGTCCTTGGGACGATGACGCTGGGATTTTCCCCGGTTGTTCTACCGTCCCTTTCGTCTTAACCTCAACCAACTGCTGTATCTCCCCCTTCATATCTTCGTAGGTGTTTAACCTAGCTTTGTTGAGGATAAGATGCTGCTCTAAGTCTGTAGGAACTAGCAACTCTAGGGCTGTACTCTTCAAGTCGTCACTCAACTTTTCTCTCACGCCTGCATCATTCTTTCGGGCTTCGTATCTTCTTATCAGGTCGTCTAGTTGGTCTATAGCTTGTCTAACATGCTCCCAACCCTTGACTCTCACTGGTGACAGAATGGCCCTCAAGAGGTTCCTCTTGCGGCCTGCCGACAGCGGGTCGAACCGCCGGTGCAGGCGTCTCCAGGCCTCAAAACCACCACCAGAGTTCACCACTATGCCCTCGGATTCTCCCGTGCACAGGTGCTGGAGTAGCCGCCATACTTGGTCACCCTTTTCCGGGATGTCTTCTACGGTGTCTGCGGCTGCTGTTACTGTGCCACCGGGGCTAGCGGGGGCTGGGCTGTTACCAAACTGCAGGTCTACATCTGTGTCTTTGACTTCGTCTTCTTGCTCTTGTGCCCACTCAAGTACCTCTTCAAACTTTCTTCCAAACACAGACGCCAACATATTGACGACCGACCGACTCCATCTACGGAACTCATCTTCCACATTGTTGAACCGCTCGGGTCTACCTAGGGCTTTGGTATCGAACAGAATTCTTGTGGAGTCAGGTCCCTTTTCCCTAACCCTCATCGTTTGGGCTAGCTCTGCTACAGACTGAGCTAGGGCTGCTACTCCTGCTTGCCCCTGTTCTGCCTGTTGTTGCTGTGCCCTTAGCGCCGTTATCTCTGCCTGCATTGCTGCGATTGTCTGCTGTAGCTGTTGCACCTGTGTTGCGTCCATCTTGTGTTTTCTACGTCAACGACGGAAAAGAACCCTATTTGGTCTAGGCTAAACTCAAACCCTGCCGCCTACCCTTCCCCTTTTTCTCTCTCGGGCAGCGGCGTTCAAAAATGCGTTTCTCTTCTCGAAGAAGGGCCGATCACTCGGCCTCTCCCTCGCACTCCTCGGAGCCTTCCTCCTCAGAGCTGCTCCTCAACTGTCCTGAGGGCCTTCTATACACAAAGTTGGGTTTGGCCTTAGCCTCGACCCTGGTTGTGAATGCTACGGCTGCTCTTCTCGCACGCAACTCCCGCTCGTCGCAGCTGCTGCAGGCTCCACCTGCCGTGCCGCTCGCGGCTCGGCCTGCAAGCGCCCTTTGCAAGGACAACCCAACAGATCCCGCGGTTACCTTGGTGATCCAGCCAAACGCCAACCTTCGAATCTGGTAGTTCGTTGTTGGGGTCAAGGGTGCTCCTCCCTTCCGGGTCTCAGGCTTACCGGCGTCTATTCCAGCCCAGTACTGCCTCAACGCCAGGTGCTGGAGTCGCGTGTCCAAGGACGCCTTGTGTGTCCACCCTTCTCGCACCCGCCGGTCCTCCTCTGCAGCGGTCCAAACACCCAAGCCTCGGCCTTTTCCCTTTTGCTTACCTTTCGACTTGGGCTCTGCTTTGGGCGCTGCCTCAAGCGCGGCGATGGTAGGTACTGCCGCCTCTGGTTGCACTGCAGGCTCAGGAACAATCACCAACCCACGGTTGCGGCGGCGATAGATAGCTGTACCTGCCGCTCTGGCCTTTGCCTTCGCGCGAGCCTCCGCCGCACCTGCTGCCAAGATAGCTGCTACCCTAGCCTCTCTTCTCACAGGCACCGATGGTGCGGATGGCACCGAGTCTTCCCCTTCACGGGGAGCCGAGCTGCAGCTCGACCTAGACCGGCTTCTTGACCTCGCTTTCGGCTCGGCCCTGTCCCTTGGCACCACCGACAGCAAGGAGCTATCACTTGAAGGTTCCTCCTCAGGCGTAAGGACAATGCTTGGCGTCTTCGGCTGCTCCAACCCCTGATCCTTGAACGCTTCTTCCGGTGTTCCCGGAGAGGTCCCCTCTATAGTTCTACCCTCCGGGGGTGTTTGAGGGGGTTTCACGTAGTTCACGTCGAAGGCTTCAGGCGGTGTGCCTGGCACGCACTGCCGCTTCCACGGCGGCGGACCCTCAGGTTCAGCTGGTGTCTGGTCCAGCCTACGCGAACCTGGTAGCCCTTTGTCAGCAGCCCACACTTTGCGGCCCTTGCGCCGTTCCAGCGCCTCAGCGCTCCTGACGCCCTTCTTCCGGGGCTTTGTACTCCTGCCCTTTCCTCCTTTCCCAGTGACTTTCCTTGTGTGCCCCTTTTCGCTATGGCTCCACGCTACCATGAAAATCTCTTTTCTACGCTCAACTGGGAATCTTGAGAGTTAGATGCATCGGCATATATACACTGTACACTATACAACTGCATGACCTAGATTAGGCGGTACAATTTTGCAATGTGAAAATAAAGGTAAAACCTAAACCGTAACCCTAAAGCCTAAACCCTACACCCTAAACCCTACACCCTCTTCTGGTGGGTTAACTCTTAAGTGAGCCTTGAACCAAACAAACAGTGGAAAGGGTACCACTGGGCCACCAGGACTCTGTGCCCGGGAGTACCAAATCTCTGCCGCAGCTGTGTCTCCTTTCTTTGCCTGGTTCTGCTGGCTTTTTTAGGGGGTTTAGGGTTTAGGGTTCAGGGTTTAGGGTTTAGGGTTTTAGGGTTTAGGGTTCAGGGTTTAGGGTTTAGGGTTTTAGGGTTTTAGGGTTTTAGGGTTTTAGGGTTTTAGGGTTTAGGGTTTAGGGATTAGGGTTTAGGGCTTAGGGTTTAGGGTTTTAGGGTTCAGGGTTTAGGGTTTAGGACTTAGGGTTTTAGGGTGTAGGGTTTAGGGCTTTAGGGTTTTGGGGTTTTGGGGGTTAGGAAGGGGTCTGAGGTTCAGGGTTGCTGGAAACGCTGTAGGAGCACTGAAAAACCCCCTAGCCCTAACCCCTACGGCTCTATGTGCTCCAGATTCGGGCGGAGAGAGAGAGGGGCGCATTGAGGGTGGCACAGGTGGCCTTACAAGAACCTTATAGGGTTTAGGGATTAGGGTTTAGGGTTTAGGGCTTAGGGTTTAGGGTTTAGGGCTTAGGTTTTAGGGTTTAGGGAGTCTTGAGGTCAAGCGTTTGTCTAAGGTATTTTGGGTTTAGGGTGTGGGCCAGAGGTGGAGTGGTGTTACCAAATCCTGAAGCTCCACGCCAAAAGCTCGGCATCCTCGTACCTCACCGCCTAAGGTCCAGGGCCCAGGTGTAGCCCCAGCGCAACACAAAACAAACCTTAAACTTCAAGGCGCGAGGAAGGGGCTTCAGGAAATGACCCACCCCAAACCCAAAGCTCTAAAGGCCACAAGTACCCTTAATACCATTCCTACCCTCCATACCCGTTCATACCCCTTGAGAACGACCTCGTACCCGTGGTACCCTTACTTCCCGAGGTCCCTACACCCTAGACCCTAAAGCCTATACCCTAAAAACCCTAAAAACCCTAAAAACCCTAAAAACCCTAAAAACCCTAAAAACCTCTAAAAACCCTGAAAACCCTGAAAACCCTGAAAACCCTGAAAACCCTGAAAACCCTAAAAACCCTAAACCCTAAAAACCCTAAACCCTAAACCCTAAACCCTAAACCCTAAACCCCTTCAAAAGGCCCGAGCCACAGCTGCTTGCATCATACAGTTGAAAGTCTCCACGGTCGGGGTGATGCCGCCTCTGTCGCAGCTTGCGGTGCTGCACTAAACCCAAGCAAGCATCATGATTGCCTGCTTGCTGAGTATCCCGGGCCAAAAAGGGCTAAACTTTCAAGTATGGCAGGTATATATATATATATACACGCATGCCGCAAAAGGTTAAAGGCTACCCACTCAGCTACTAAGATCGTAATATCCAGAGAACTCATAAGCATCATCAGAGAGCACTGCTGATTAATTCATTCTACAAGCTACCAGAAAACGTAGTCCGATAAAATCCGTCAAAAATAATGGTAATGGTCACGGTAACACTGATAGTAGTATGTTACAGAGTGCGAACTTCTTGGCCCGATGATCCTGCCAAACAGCTGGTTTCATGAACGACGTTCATTACGCTGAGCTGTCCCGGATCCCAAGTTGGCCTACACATTTATTTATATATATAATATCTATCGGGCAATGACGCACTCGTGGACAGATGTCCGGAAGAGTCTCCAAAACCAGGTTCCGATGAATGTGAGCGCACCGTGATGCTGATGCACTGATGATTCCCCCCCCCCCCCCCCCCCCCCCCCGCCCCCCCCCCCCCCCCGCCCCCCCCCCCCCCCCCCCCCCGCCCCCCCCCCCCCGTGTGCAGCTTAAATAGGGTCTATTTGGAAGCTGGGAATCGTATTTACAAGAGGAAAACAGGCCCCAAAACGTATACTTATTCACAAGAGCCATGTTCCAAATAGACCCTATTTTAGGTCCTGTAGGGTTGCACAGACAGAATTTAATTCATTAAATTCCTTAATTTTCACTTTCCCCCTGGAATTTAATGAATTTAATGAATTAATTCAATTAATTCATTTATTTCCAAAGGGGGGGTGGAATTAATTGAATTAGTTGAATTAATTGAATTAATTGAATTACTTGAATTAATTGAATTAATTGAATTAATTGAATTAATTGAACCCCCCCCTTTGGAAATAAATGAATTAATTGAATTAATTGAATTAATTGAATTAATTGAATTAATTGAATTAATTGAATTAATTGAATTAATTGAATTAATTGAATTAATTGAATTAATTGGAATTAATTCAAGTAATTCAATTAATTCCACCTCCCCTTTGGAAATAAATGAATTAATTGAACTAATTGAATTAGTTGAATTATTTCGATTAATTCAATTAATTCAATTAATTCAATTAATTCATGGGGGGGATTCCCCAGCCCCCACCCCTCCCCCCCCTTTGGAAATAAATGAATTAATTGAATTAATTGAATTAATTGAATTAATTGAATTAATTCAATTAATTCAATTAATTCAATTAATTCATTTATTTCCAAAGGGGGGTGGAATTAATTGAACTAATTTAAATAATTGAATTAATTCAATTAATTCAATTAATTCAATTAATTCATTTATTTCCAAATGGGGGGGATTCCCCAGACCCCACCCCCCCAGCTCGATTTGGCCAAATTTTGCCCGGAGGCTGCCCGGCAAAATTTGGCCAAATCGAGCCGCGCCTTTCTGGAGGCCCGAAATTTTTTAAACTATCGCGGCTCGATTTGGCCAAATTTTGCCGGGCAGCCTCCGGGCAAAATTTGGCCAAATCGAGCCACGCATTTCTCATCGCATACGAAGGGC